GCAGAAAGATCAAAGAAGAACAGGAAAAGAGTGAACACAAACACAAAGAAGTAATAATGGGACAGTCAGTAGTATGAACAAATAAATACCAAGTTTGTCAAGATTATTTAGAGAAAATTCTCGAGTTTGTTCAATAAAATAGGAAAATTGAGTGGAAACAAGTAACGGAAGCTGAGCCCACGTGTACATCTTATTCGATGGCTTCGACGGTATCCGAGGAGCTTACAATCAAAAAGTGGAATTTGACAAACGAGCGTGCTCCACGCGAACAATTAAGAAACTAGTTCTATTCCATTAGAGCTCTATCGCACACTCAGCAAGACAACAAGCGAACCGGTCCACTTGTCGCTCGGCGGCGACCTGATAAAGGAAGCAGAAGAAAATGGAGAAGTAAGTGGAGATACACGCGAAACGAAGAGCACGACGACGATGAGGACGACGACGACGACGATGATGATAATGAAGAAGAAGAGACGACGAAGCTTTACGCGCGGTGGAGGTTATTTCCGCCAGGACCATCCAATCGTGAAACGCGCCGAGATCTACTCCCGGAGAAGCGGAGAAGAGCAAGCAAAGTGAAGAAAGAGAAAAAGAAGGAGGAAGAGCGCGAGCATGAAAAGCGCAAGGCGCTATCGCGGGGCTCCGCGCGCTCCCGGGTCATCAGGCCGAGAAAGCAGAACTCGCCACCGACCGAATGAGACCCGAACGAGCGAATGAATAACCCGGCCTGCCGAAGGACAGGAAAATGGATGGAACACGCCGGAGGGGTGAGGGAGGAAAAAGGAAACGGCAAGAAAACGGCAGGCCGAAAGAATCCGCCGGATTTCCGCTCGGCGTTAGAGCCGCCTATCGAGATCGGCGTGTTGCGCAACGCCTGTACGAGTACGCGCGTCCGTGTGTTTTTCTGGGCGTGTATGCGTATATGTGTGTGTGTGTGTGCATGCGTGCACGGCCGATAACGCACGATAGAAGTCGCGGGAGAGGAAGCGGATAGAGATGAATAGATAGGTTCTGCTCGCGCGTTCCCGGCGCTCTCCGCGGTGCACGCCGCACCGCGAAATCAAATCCGAGGGAGAAGCGACGCGGAGGGAACGGGGGAATTACGTAACGTCGAACGACACTCGATAGTCATTAGCGTCTCGTCATTAGTGTTACTTACCGAGTCGATCGCGTTTACGGGAAAGGCGTGGCGCGCTTGTAAAAGGCAGGAGGACGGAGGAACGTCGAGGGAGAATTCCGAGATACATGAAAGACGCGACGGATGGAGACGCTTTTTCAGGGTAGGCGCCGCGACATTGTCGCGCCGTCTCGTCTTCATTCTTGTCTTCTTTGTGATTACAAATCGGAAGGTAAAACAGTAAGGATCACTGACGAGAGAGGAAGAGAGGGAGGAAGAGAAAGAAAGAGCGAGGGACAACGGAAAGATTGCGAATACCTGCACATAGAAATTTCTCAAGAGATGTGTCTCAAGATACAATATAGATTCCTATCAGAATGCCCAAACTTGCTACAAAATTGCTTATCTCACTAGAATATCAATTGGGAATTCCGTTCTTATCCCAAATATTTTGGATTTTCTACCCGAGATCAAGATAGAAATAATGACTTGATTTTTTTAATGGATAAAATCGATATACTTTTAAATGGAAAAAGTCATTTTTTGTATACTAACATCAAATTAAATGGGACAAAAATATAAAAAATAAATATTTAAAACGTTTTGAGTATATATATAAATATTATTTTAAGTACTTATATTTTTTACATAATTATTATTTGTATATACTATTATTGTTTATTATTATTTTACTTATTTACAGGAAGAATCTCTCTGCGGATATAATAAATAATTCAATATGTGATAAAAAGAAACGAGAGAAGGAAAATATGTAATAAAATGTACAACTTAAAATAAAATAGGTAGTAACAGACGACGCGATGAGAGAGCGAGGTGGCGTCGTCGCCTCGCAAAATCGGTATGCGGATCTCCGCGTGCGAGATTCTTCGAGCAACCGCCGCCTCCTCCACCTCTCGCCAAATGTGTCGGCGTGCGCGAGATGCGGGGAAAAATCCGCGCGACGCTTGCGAGCTCACGTCGCCGGGCTCGCTCGTAAGCCGCGTCGCTCGCTTCCTTTCGCGGCGCGATACATCTCGCGCGCTCTCCTCTGTCGGGCTACATCCGGTCGTCCGGACGTTTGACAAAGAGCGCCCGACCGGGCCGGCAACAAACTGACCTGCGCTAACTGGAGTTTCGTGAGACTCGACCGACACCCGGGATCATCGTCGGGTCATCGTCGCGTTCCGCAAAAAGATCGCGCGCACCCGATCGCCACACCGAGTGTCGCATTCAACGGCATTCCGAGAGGAGCGGAAGTAACTTTCACGGCTGTAAATCCGTGCAGTTTTTCCGATCGCATTACCTGTCTGGAAGGCCCCTTTATCGCGTGCGATTTTCGGCGAGGCTGAATGAACCCGAGAGCTTTGTGGCAAAATCGGCTGATCCTACTTAAGTTAAGCGTGAAAGACTCGGAAATACGGGTCTGTCTCTTAAAAATACCTTCAAGACCAGACATTGTTCACCGATTCGGGGCGTGTTTTTTTTCTTGAAAGAGAAAACACTGCGGGAAGTGGAGAACACACACCCCGAGCTTTATTCGGGAATTTCCCGGTTCTTCCCGGGAAATACATTCGAATACGATCCTTTTCGCGTTGTGCGCGGGAGGTCAAGTAGTCTATGCGGGCGTCACGACTCGCGGAGACACGAACAGGCGTGTCACTCGTAAATCATTCGTAACGGCAATTCAAGTGTCACAGATCAGCTCGCTCGCCGAAAAATTGGCACGGAAAACTCTCTTTTTCCGTACGTGACTTCGGACTATCGAGAGAGCCGCGTAAAACGAAGCGTGCGTCAAAGGGAGATTCCCGGTGTCACCTGCGCGCTCGTCTTTCGACATATATCGTGTCTCGCGTGGAAAAGTGATCGATCGCTCGGCATCCGCGCGTGTCGTCAGGAAGGAAGGAAGGCAGACGGCCTGGTGGGGAATCGCGAGTTTGCGAAATCGCGATTTCGCCGTGCGAGCGTGGCGAGGACGACATCCGCTAGAAAACGTTGGGAAATATCGCTTAAGAGCAGCCACGAGGCGAGAGAGTGTCGGGCCGAGATGTCCCGCGGAGAATCGCGTGGGCCTCGGATACGTGGTCGGAGCTGCTTTCTATGCTAAAGGGCCCGGAATGCTCGTCGCCTCCCTTTGCGCGCTATCTAACGCCGCGCGACTCCTACGATATCGTCGCCGGGCTCTACGTAAATTCAGTCGTTCTTCGAGAGGCCGAGCCTCTCGAGAGAGAACACCCCCTAAGGCGATGTGCTGCGACATGCTTGATAATTAAACTAGTGTTACATTTTCTTCGGAGATATGAACGTGTAATTATAGAAATTTTAATATATATATTCAAGCGATTCTAACGTCTTTTCGACGGAGTGGAATATTTCGTGTCCGGCTTAGAGTTCGTTTATCCTCAGGGAAGTGACCAGTTACAGTTTTACAAGATTTTTTTTTTCTTTCTTTTTTTCAATAAAGATATCATCTTCTTTCTGTGTGTACGTGCAACGGAACGACGGCGAATCGTAAGAAAGAGATGTTCGAAACTTGGCAAGGAAAGAAAAAAAGACGTAAATTATAACGACTCGTTGCTTCTTGAGCGACGATACTGTGAAAAGGTAACTTTCCCAGATCCCGCCATCTAACCGCGGGGTTTCCGAGAACACCTCCGTCCGAAGGTGCTCCAGAAATCTGGAGGCTGGGCGGTCGGCCTGAAAAAGGCGTCCACCGGTGAAAGGGTGAAGAAACAGCCGGCCGGGTGAGGCGAAGTTGCGGCGCGGTGACAGACCGGCCCGCGCGTTAAATCATCGATCGCTCTCGCTCGCTCGCGCGTGGGTGCGCCAAGCACGGCGACGCCGGTGGGAGAATACATTTCGGATTTTTGTGCGGCGGGAAATTTGCGTGCCGCTAATGGCATCGCGACGCCTACGGGGCCCGCCGAGGCAACCTGCGACGTTTCGCGCGCTACCGCGTAAGGCGAGGCCGGAGAGGCCAGGCTGCCCACCCGATCCCTCCTACGGGAAAGAACGGGACGCGGAGAGAGAGAGAGAGAGAGAGACGGGCGGTTTTCTCGGTCGGTCGGATCCACCTACGGGAGCGCAAGAGCGAGACCGAGAATGCCGGGCCGGTCGCGGCCCGGAGCGGTTTATATGTCCGCCCGCTCGATCGACGCGATCGATCGGCCAACTGAATCGCCGTATTTCCGCCGAACGAGTTCACCTACGCGCGCGCCGATAGGATTTCTCGGTTACCCGCTCCGGTCACGACTCCCTCCCGCGGGCTCCTCTCCGTCTCACCCCTTCATCCCTCGGTCCGCGCGGATTCAATTTTCGCCGCGGGACTTCGACGTAAATTTCATTAATCTCCCCAGCTACACCGCGCGATTATACCGGCCTGGTCCCGGTTATTTTCGGATCCTGGCGTCTCAGATTCGCCACGCACGCTTTTTGTCGTCACGTTACCTCCCTCCCCGGCGGGGGATGAGGATTATGATGACGATGGAAGTCCGTTCCGCGAGTGTATTCGCGATTTGCGCTGAGACTCAAATTATGTTCGCCGCTCGTAGAAATGTAAATTCTTTTTTTTTCTCTTTCGTCGTTATCGTCACTTCGTGTGCATTTTTCTTCTATTCTCGTTCATGTAAGAAAAAAACTTTTCTCGTTTGCGCAAAATAAAAAGATGAATAAATAAGTTTCCGCGCGATGGATGGTGCCGATTCCCTTTCGACACCGAGAAGGATCGACGACTTTATTGACGCTCGCGCGGCGGTATTCGCATTCCGATAACGATGCGAACAGCACAAAGAGGAGCGTAGCGATTTGCAGCGAGGCAGAATCGAAGAGAAAGGGGCAGAAAGAGGGACGGACAGACGGAAGGAGAGAAAATGTAGAGTCTACTCACGTCCTTGCTCGGGACGCAGAGCGGCGTTCCTTCCTTGACGATGCCAGCCTCGACCATCACGCCGATCACGATCGGGTCCCTCGAGTTGTACACGTGCTGAAATCCAAGCGGATCCACCGCTTTAGGAAAAAGGAGAGAGAAAGAAAGAAGAAAAGCCGCGCGTGGAATAGCCGGCGCGCGTAAATCCCGCTTGTTTATCGCGCCCTTTCACCCCCTCACCTGCGGCAGGATCTTCAGCTTGCACGGGAACACGGCGATGTGCTTGTACTCGTCCCGCTTGCGCTGCTTCAGTTCCTCCCTGTAGGCGGTGAATTGGTCGAACAGGTGGTAAATAATGTCCGCCTGCATGATCTTGACGCCCAGCGAGTCCGCCAATTCCTGCGCGTCCCTCTCGATCTTCACGTCGAACGCGAGAATCGTGGCGTACCTGCCGGCAAATTTGACCGATCGATTTAGCGTCCGATTAGCCGGGGTTCTTCGAGGATTCTTCCAGGAAAATCGAGATGAAAGTCGGGAAATTATATCGGAGAATTTATCGAAGAAGTAGGGAGTATCGAAATCAGAGTTTACGCGGCAATTCGTTGATCCAGTTTAGCAACAACCGTAGTTAGTAAACTTTCGCGTCCGATTGGTATATTCTTCCAGATCTAAAAATATAGTCCAATTAAGTGAGCAAGAGCTCACTAACTAAGGTTGTTACTAAACCGGATTAACGTTGCACAGGCCTCTCGGATGGATCTCAAGGCTCGGCTCTCTCGGCCGGCCGTATTGATTTTGTGACGTCATAAGCGGGGAATGACATGCGGTAAGTTATCTGCGGAAACTAAAAAAATATATTTTTTTAGTTCTCCCCGAAAGACATGATAGTTTCATAATGGAAAAAGTTTCACGGATAGTTTGATAACGACAAATAACGGAACGAAGCGCCTGTAACAAAGTTTCATACTGAAACCGAGATCGATTTAATTTCACTGAGATGCAACGTGACGTAACGTGACAAATATATTACAGTTTAAACGACAACCGAGGCTGTACTCACTGGCTGTCGTGCTCCAGCATGATGGAAGCCTTCATGACGTCCTTCTTGACGACCGGTCCGATGCGAATCCCAGCGTACTGTGCGCACAAAAACGAAAAAGCAACGTTAGCACGAGTGAGAAGAGCGTTAGTTGCTTAACGCGAGAGCGATATCAGACGGCGAGAGACTTCTCATTACGCAACAATTTGCTCCGATTTCGCGTGTCATCTCGGCAACATTATTGCATAGTTTTCTCGCCGTTACGTTATTTCGCACATTATTATGCAATCGAGCGCCGAGACCGCGGTAACAATCCGACCACTGCCGCGAGTCACAATCGCGCGGGTCATCCCATGCTAACTCGCGCCAGTTTCTTACGCACAATGGGGACTCTTCATCGACGCTGACACTCGTCGCGCGTGATCACGTGAACGCGCAAAAACGCTCGGCTGTTTGCTTGTCCGAGGAGGAGTAACTGTGTGTCCCGAGTATAAACAAGGAAGGTTACGAGAGGGTCTCACGACAGACGTACAAATATTTACGAAGGAAGTCACGGCTGGCTTTGTGAGTAAAGACGAACGAATTATTCTCGCAAATATTCGCCACGAATCGAGACGGACGAAATCCCGTCGCGTTTAAAAGAGAGAAGAGTGATATCATGCCTAATGATATTATTACGCGTGAACTACAAAGTAATGGGATTTGTGTACACATGTAGGTGAAAGTACGAAGAATCATCCTTCAAAAAGACATCTTTATGAGATCAATAATGCGGTCGACAGAAAAATTCAAACGACGTTTGGACGTTTCCTTCGAGTCGCTCGAGTATATGCAGAGAGAGAGAATCTCCGTTAAGAATGCGACATATAATATTTCTAAAAATAAAAATATTCTAATTTATTTACATCGTTCGATATAATGCTTTTGTAAATATTTAGTTTATCTTAAAGAAAGAAAGGAACAATTTAACATTCATCACTTTTTTCATTTTTTATCCTTCGGACACCGCTGACCGAGCGATTCACGCGACGTGTTAGCATCTCCGAGCTGACGCTACGAGAGAGAGAGAGAGAAAGAGAGACGAATCTCTGGAATCATTGCCACCGACGAAACACCGCGGACTCCGCGGTGTTCGGGGGTCTCTCTGCGTACGGTCGATGTGCGTACGACTAGGCAAAAATAACCAGTGACGCATGCATGCCGCCCAGATTCGGTCCCGAGTCGGTGCAACGAGACGGGACGAGACGACGACGACGACGCGGCGCGACGCAACACGACGTTGAAATCGAAATAAACGCGACGATGCACCTACTTACAAACAAGCCGCTCTCCTCGCCGGCATCGCCGAGGAGACACGGTGCGCCACGAATCTATCGCGGTCGGGAATTGAAGCCGGCCGTACGAGAGTGCCATCGTCGTGACGGGATATACAAGATGTCCCTTGAAGATCCACCAAACAGACAGATACCTTCGACGTTCAAACATTTTTTCCAAGCGCGGATCTCTCCGCTGTAATTAACACGTTGACTGCCGAGTGAGAATTATCTCGTAGCCGGCGCGTGAGAAAAGAACCCGCCGCTCCGTCCACGAGAATTAATCCGCATACCGTTTCTCTTTCCCCCTCTCTTTCCAGGCGATACGTTTTTGCATCGTCAATTTTGTCGAATAATAAATATAAATGATCGATGCATCAATCATACAAAATGACACGTTGATTTTCAAACTCGGTTACCGACTTTGCGGTACGAAATGTGCTGTATTTCATCGATAAACCTTCGTGTATCGCTGATGATGAACGCTCGGATCTATGTAGGGTGGTCTCGTTAGAAATCGCCTCGAAATCGGATCTCGCGCCACGGTGTAACTCCTAAATTATACTTTACACCTTCGTCACAGTGATCACACACCGTAATCGAGCGCGAGGAGTGGACGCGACGATCGCCGACATCGCGGCATCTTAATTCGACGGCGATACGACAAGATCGTATTAGAGGTTCATCTCTATCGAGTTTATATCGCGCGGACAGAAACGAGCCGCTCATTTCTAATCGCGAGTAAACACTCCCCCGGTTATACGGACGCGGTGAACGCGTTCCCGCGAAGAAACGATTAATTAAGAACACGCACGCACGCTTATTTCCGATAACTGGTCGGTGGCTGATACTGCAACATATTAAACTCCGCCTCAATCACCGACCGTAAAGACGAGATATACTCGTGATCTTCGCTATGATTACGCGCGCGCGCCTCCCTATCTTTCCGGTTTGCCAGGCAGATATCAGTTAACCGCCCCGATACGATGTCGGTGTCTAATAACGCTCGGCGCTCGATATATGGGACTAATTGCCGCGTAAAGAGTCCCGCTCAATCGAAGTTAAACACACTGTAAATATACCGTAAGTCTCAGATCTTATCTCGTCCCCTTTCATTCCCCGGCGCTCGTTACTCGTCGCTGGTGCGTACAGTATTGTTTTGTTTAATTATTTTTAGAAAGCTCCATTGTATCCAAGGGTGTCTATTGAAACCCGTAAAAAAAAAAATTCCCGAAGAATTCCCTGACTTTCCAGGCAATTTGTGAAAAATTTCCGGTAAAATGAAAGAAATTGTACGAAAAGAAAAACCTATTTAATATTCTCTCCGTGTACAGAAAAAAAGCGTTCCAGCGTGAAAGAAATCTGGTTGGACGCGGTTGGTCAAGGGATTAAACGGTGATGAATGACGAGACGTCAGACACGCTGACGCTTAACAATCCCGAGTAAATGTACCGAAACCCGAAGAAGTTACTATCTCGAAACACGACTAACAGATCGCTCTTGTCTTCTATGGAACACAAGTTATTAATACTTTCCTCGGGGTCGGTCAATTCGTTCAAAGGCACGTCGGTCTCTCAAGCGGAGATGGCTAATGTACTCCGCGCGGTTACCGTGTGTCCATTCCTACTTTTCTACATTTGTACTTTATGAACTCGGGAGTTAATCAGCCGTCGTAAAAAGGGACGAATAAATAAATATCTTTAAAAGCATTCACACACGCGTCCGTTTCTCTCTCTCTCTCTCTCTGCCTCCGCACAGCACGCACCCTCGAGCCGCGTCCTCCGCGATTGTAACGATAATTATTCTCTCGCGGATATATGCGGACCATGATAGCTCCTATTTACGGGCCAATTCTCAAGCCGGTATAACCAGGCTCGCGGCCGATAGGCGGCGGACGATCGAGGGAGAACGAGGTAGAGACAAACGAACGAATGGACGGACGAGCGAGCGAGCGAACGGATGAACGAGCGGAAGATGATACGTTCCCGAGGACTTTCCGAGATAAGCGTATTTTAGAACTTCCGGCGCGCGTAAGCATTCCGATCCTGACGTGCCAGATGCCGCGCCGGCTCTATCGGCGCGCACGTTTTATCGCGCGTTCACCGAGAGAATGTGAATGTCGGAGACGCGAACGAAAACGGACGATACTTCGATCGCCAATTCGATCATTCGTACTTACACCGGATCGATGTAACGCTAAAAGCTGCTATACATGAAATATATAAAAATATTTTGTACCTGTGTAAGTCCTTGTAAGTTTTGTGTTAAATATATAATATATCCGTGTGTTAACATTAATTACGCGTAATACAAACGCCGGGTTATGTCGGAATTATAACTGAAATTATGATGTACGTTGTAATCTTTATTAACGTACTTCATTCTTATACATCACTAAAGATTACAACGTACATATTAATTTCGACAATGATTCCGATATAACCCGGCGTTACAAATTTGTAGTAATTAAAGCATTTTGTAGTAATTTTCATTACAATATTTTCTCCGTCTATTATTAGCGATCATCGCGAAGTCGATTACTTCAACTCACTCGAGCACTCGAGTAATCTTTCTCTCTCTCTCTTCCTCTTCTCGAAGTACGTTCACTTTTCTAGCTTTAAGATTATCTCCCGAAGTAGTTTAGCCGACGAATCAACAGGATTTCGACAATAGCCGTGCGAGCTGGCGTGAATTCCCGTCGACGACGTCTCTCCTGGTGCGCGATCAAAATTCGTAGCGAGTCGCGAGTTGACGATACTTCGCTTTGGAGGAACGGATGCTCTCTCGAAGAGGAGGAGAGGGATCGCAGGGGGAGAAGAACAGGGCGAGAGAGGTACTGGCGGCGATGGAAAAAAGCCGAGAGAGAGAGAGAGAGAGTAGAGAAAAAGAGAGACGAGAAGGAAAGGACTGAGAGAGAGAGAGAGAGAGAGAGATCTAGTACGACGAGAAAAGGCGGACACGGCAGATGTTGCCGGCGAAAGAAACGCCGCTGGTACAAGCGGGAGGAAGTTGGGAGGAAGAGTAAGACGGTGAGGAAGCGGGACGAAGAGGGCAGGACGGGGTGGAGGAGGGGACGCACGGGGGACTGTAGAGGAGGGAGGGAGGTGCTTCCGGCATTTAAAACCAGCCGTCGGGGCACGGATCCTCTTTAGCCTCTCGTCGTAACTGCGGCACGCTCGCCGAAGAAGGAAACGCTAATTTATTAAACTCGCCTCCCGTTCCGCTCCTCCTGCATATCCTGCCCGCGCCGCGCGTACGATTAGCCATCACCGAAGGACGACTCCCGTGCGCGCGCCTCTTTCGGCGCGATTTCGTGGCCACCGCCGAAGGTGGGCTTTTTCGCGCATCCTTTTCTCGCGACCCGACATGCCAGGAAAGGAAGGACGTGCGTCGTCCCAAGAAGTATATCGAGCACGAATCGGTAATAACTGAACGAGGCACGATGATCAGCACGGATATTGCGTAATGCACGATTTCCTTCGGGCTTACTTTGCGTCTCGTTTACATTTGTGCGTTCTCGCGCGTAGCGTGGGTCTTGTTCGATTTGTCGCGAGAATATCGTCTATTCTTTTTAGCTGCACTGCTGAACTGGTGCGATAAGTTAGAGTTAGGCAAGTGTATATTTTTGTCTCGCTTCAACTTGTTGCACCAGTTCAGCAGTGCAGCTGAAAAAAACAGACCAATAAACAGCGAGAGAGAGAGAGAGAGTGTGTGTGGGAGAGAGACGGAGTTCGGAGACTTTGGCTGGATGTGCGTCTCGCAGGAGAGAACTAATAAACTTACAA